AAAACACGCTATCATATCGGTGCTTTGGGATTCGGATCAGCTTTTTGGATTCGACTATGATGTGAAGGAAGCGCGAAACACCGGCGTTCTTTCCATTGCGGGAATCATGCCTGTTTGGGCGGGCTGTGTCGATGACTCCTGGACCGTTGAACATGCCAAACAGTTTGTTCACAAGATTATGAATGTATCGGGATTGTTGCATGACGGTGGCGTAGCATGCACTAGTACTGTGTCGAAAGAACAGTGGGATTTCCCGAATTGCTGGCCCCCACTTGTTGACTTTGCGGTTGAAACGCTTCGCAAACTTGCTGTTCGATTCCCCGAATCCGACGCTGATCGCGCTGCTGAAGAAATTGCTGCCCGTTTTCTTCGATCGGCTTACCGCGGGTGGCAGAGTGAAAATGTTTTTCACGAGAAATATGACTGTAGGTATGAGACTGGTAAGCGCGGTGAAGGCGGTGAGTACCGTCCCCAGACTGGCTTTGGATGGACGAATGGAACTATCATGTGGTTGCTCAAAGATTATCCACATTGTCTTTCGTGATAGGCTAATAAAACACAACTACCCTCTTTGCTGCGGGCACTTGCATAAACGTTGCTGTTATTCTCCAGAACGTTTTTTTTATTTTCTCCGTGCTCTTGAGTTCTCTCTGCTTTTGATGCGGCCGGTTGCCGCAGCGTGGCTTGGAAAGCAACTGCTCGATACCGTGTACCGTTGGTAACACCTCCCGTGACGGAGTCCGTCCCCTTGTTCCACTGCCGGAGATATTTTATCCCAAGCGAGTTGCGTGGCAATAAGCCTACAACCAATACTTAGTGTTTGCCCTTCTTCCCGTTTCGTTTTGCGACAACCCGTCGCGAGGCACGGCAAGCTGTGTAAGTAGTATAAACTTCATACTATGAACGCTAGACCTACAACTCCACTAACTCCACCTCTTTAATCTTATGTAGGAGTGTATTTTGCCCTGTGCTCATAACACCAATGACTTACCTCTTGAAGGTTCTGTTCCCAGCGCCATCTGGCGCCTTGGGTGTGGCAAACCATGACGCCTTATCACCTCTTGTTATAGGTGATTCCTTGCTTCTGTTCATCGAAAGCAATCTTTGCACTACTGGCATGCGGATCGGCTGCGGCTGCGCTACACTTGTGTCCTTATCATGATTTTCGTTTCGTTTTCTGAGTGGAATTGGTGACGCAACTTCTGATTCACGTGCAGCAGAATCCTTCTTGTTCCGATTCGTGTCTTGCTTCGCAGTTGTGGAATCATGAGTTAGTGATGCAGTCTCAATGTCCACTTCGTACACAGACTCCTCTTCTTCGTCGGTATTGGATTTGCGTTTGCGCCGGCGCAAGTAGAGATATGCGAGGATCAACAAGAGGAGGACGACGCCAATTGTCAGACTGATGCCAACAATTACCGCGGTTGATAGTTTTGAAATTGTTCTGAAGAATCCTATGCTTTCCTTGGAGGACTCTGAAGATCTTTTGGTGAAGGATTTTCGTAGGTCAGACAATGATGACCCCGCTCCAAGCAACGGTAGTTCTCGCGCAATCCCTTGAAATTCGTTGAGGCTGATGTTTCCGATGAGAGGGGAAACTTCGCCCATCTCGTCCAAAATGTCCTTGACTTTCGTGATGTTCAAAGGGACGTTTAAGCTTGACGATAAGAACAGGAATACACTGACGATCCCACCTGCAGCCACATTACATCCCTGCATAATAGTTCTATAAGACTCCGGTCCTGCTGTATATACCGATGTGCTGTAGTCCCCCGGTCCAAAAACGTCAAACAGGTCAAGACACTGAGATGAGTCTATCACATATTTGTCAGATAGTTCTACCCTTTGTGTATTGTCACTGACGCGACGACCAAAAGCTCTGACAGCAACATAAGAAGGCCTCTTAACATTGCATGTCTTACCTGGTACCACATTCACCACTCCCAGATTGGAAAGAAGTTCCAGTTCTTTGAGCAAGACCACATCATTAACGAGACCAGTTTCCTGCAGGTATTCGTCAAACAGAACAAAAGTATTCGGGTGTGACGAAGAATCGTCCTTTGCACGTGCTGACACATCGACCGTTGTTCGTACAAATCTGAGTGCAGAGAGGATAACACTGCGTGAGTATGATCTTTCACAATCCCGAACTGGGATAGGAACAATGACAGTTGATCTAGGTCCTATACCTATACGACTGCCAACGACTGATGTGACTAGCTGAGTTCCTAAATCGTCGCAGATGGATCTCGGTAAGCGCGATGGGGAACCATATATTTGCTGCAATCCAGATGTGTCTATTGTAGCACCCAAAAGTTCGACGTGTTCCAGATTTGGCCAAGAGGAAATGACGAATATCTTGGACTTTTCTGCTAGGTTCAAAGTGTTATTGTCTTTCTCTGGCAGCGACAGAAGGTCCCGATTCCACAGCATTGGGGACACCGCTTCCGCATTAGTTGAACGCGACGTCGAGAGCCGGACATTAACAGCCCCGAAACGCTTATTGCGGGAGAGCACGAGGTAGATCACGTCCGGATACGAATCCGGTATGTCCAACCGTACGCTCCTGAAGCAGTCTTGATCTTCGTCATCCATTGCAGAACCCATGGCACCGCGGGAAGCAATTAAGTCGTCCCCAAGAAAGGTTTGGCGTCGAAATGCATAAAGGGACAATAACGACGGGTCCTGCTCTCTCTGCATGATACACGCATTGATGGTGACGATGGATGACGACACGTTCAGGGAATTCCGACCAGCTACTTCCGTTCTCTCCAATATCCTATTGGACTTCATGGATAGCACGATGAGCTCTTCCGAATATCTTGAGTTAGAGACCTCACTGCTCCCTCTCTTGATTAGCTGGCCCTGGGTTCCAATTGAAATCGTCAAGTTCTCATCTACACCAAGCTTCCTCTGCAAGTTGATGGGTGGTAGAGTGTCTTGTGAATCTGATGAATTGCTTGTTTGGTTCTCGGTGCTGTTCGTAGCATCTGATTGACCCGAAGGTATCGGCGTCGCTTCTGGGATAGCAGTCGGGTTCACAAGAGGTGGTGCGGAAGGTTTAGTTGATGGGGATGGGGTGGCCGTCGGCTTCGCTGGTTGCTGGGAATTGCTTGGCGACACTGATGCACTGGGTAATGAAACGGAAATGGAAGGTGTTGTGCTAGAAGAAGGGGAAGTGGAAGGAACGACCGCACCTACTGAAGTGGCAGGAGACGGTGGAACCGTTAGTGAAGGTGCGGCGGAAGGGACGAGAGATGGCGTCGCGTCGCTTTGTGGAAGGATCGGTATCGTCGAAGGACCCCCTTGGGATGGTGCAGCGACACTTTGGGAAAGAATTGGCACAGCCGAGGCCACAACTGGCGGTCCTTGACCGTTCGAAGTCGAACCAAGGCTTGGCTTCCCAGTTCCAATAGCTGCGAGAGAAACAAGAGAAGGAGATGCTGGTGACGCCAATTGGTCTCCATTTGTGTTGACGAGAAGCGGATTCTCGAGATGCTGATTCTGCTGGGCAGCGTTTGGGAGCTGCTTTGAATCCGGTGCTCCTACGAGATTCAGAAGCGGGGCCGGAGTTTGGTGCGAGTTGTAGGCGGATTTTGTTGTCGTTCCTTGGTTCATTGAAGCGATTCGCACGTTGACATCTGGCCTCCAATTCCGAGATGACAAGCCCAGTGCAGAGTTTTGTCTCCAGCCATTGATTTCTTCATCATCAAGTTGCTCACTCGAATGGGTCCTGGCAGCAGAAACTTTTCTTCTTTGAGGAATTATCGATGTTGGAGAGGATTGCACAAAACCTGCTTCGGCTGGCCCCCCTGGTTGTGACGTAACGAGTGCTGTGAGAAGGAGCAGTAAGACAAGAGTATGGACGAATCTGCTGGAAAACATTGTAGACCAGCAGACAAAGGCAAGTTCCAAAAGGTACTATTTCGCACGTTGCACTTGAAGGATGAACGTTGAAGAACGGCAGATGGAGAGGAATAGACCAGTTTGATGAATTGGTACTGAGAGAGAGCGCAGATGTTTTTAAACTCTCTTAAGAGTGGGCATACCAATTTGAAAGGGATGAATGGGGTTATGACAAAGTGGTATATGCATAAAGCTGCTGCTTGCATGAAGCAGAAGACTTAACAAGGCGGGCATGTCTCTCGAGAAGCAAAGCAGGAGAACAAATGAATGCAATAATCTGCGTAGTGGTTGGTTAAAGAAGAAAGTGGTGTTTTAAAACACCGAGTATCAGCAGGCACGTTCCATGTACTTGTTACTTTAAAGTTTTGTTGAAAAAGGAATGAAGCTAGACGTGCATGAGTACAGAGGTTCTGTGAAAGAGCAGGGGTGTCGTGCTGGTGGTTTGTGGTGTGTGAAGGAGCGGGAGCTGAGACGTCGTGGGTCATTGAACCAGTTCCATGGAAGCTTTGGGGCACAAGCACGCACACTTCCTGTGGTGAGGATGTCTCAGACACAAACGAATCCAAACGGTGTGAAAATGAGTATGTGGCTGAGTTTCGTAGGGATACTACGAAACTAGCTTCTCATCCGTTTTCCATTGTTTAAAGGGTTTTGAGGCATTCGCGCTTAGGTGGGGCCTATGGTCGAGAAAGCAAGCGGACGCTAGGTCTGAAGGAAGAGCAACTTTGATGCCGACTCACAAAAGGGCTGGGTGGTATGTTTCTATTGGCCACGTAGGGAGCGTTGCCCTCGCTCCCGCCCAGCAGGCATTATTGCGGCCGCCATTGTGTGCCGATTCTCTTAGCGATTCGAATCGGAGCAAAGCGAAATGGATTGCGATGAACAGACCTGTGTATTATGCTCCAGCCAGGAGCTGGTTTGTTGCGGTGCTGACGTTTCAGACAAGATGCTTGATACAAGGTGTTTTATGGCAAGTGCGACGATAGCGAATGTTCCACCCGAACTTACGATAACACTTTTCGTTGCGTAGGTATCTTTCACAAAAAGAAAAATAAATATATCAGGTTACCTCTGTCCTTCCAGCCTCACGAGATGGGTCTGTAGCTCAATTGGTAGAGTGCTCCCTTAGCATGGGAGAGGTACCGGGATCGAAGCCCGGCAGATCCAGGCTCTTCGTTTTTTTCCTAAATTCTGCGTTCTCTTTGGGCCGTTCGATTCGATTTGCAAAGACTGTCTGTACAGGGCAGCACGACAACACCGGCAGCACTCGCCGTCGGTATGTACATTGCTGACCACAGTCAAGGGAGCGCGTAGCGCACATCGAAGCCAGTCCACTGTCGCGGCGCATCACTGGATGTCAGCGACATTTCGTTAACCCCGCGCACTCATGGTTCGCACAGGGCCTCATCATCTTCTCGCCTTCATTCTCCCCATCTTTTCGTTGCCGCCGCCACACCACTCCCTCACGCCCCCCTCTCCATGAAGATCTACACGCGCACTGGCGACAAGGGCGAGACCAGCCTGTTCAACGGCTCGCGCGTCCCGAAGGATCACATCCTGGTCAACGCCTAGTAAGTGCTCTACCAACCCCCAACCGGACAGCACGCAGCATTCCAACTAACTTTCCATGCACGCAGCGGTATCGTAGACGAGTGTAACGCAGCCATTGGTCTGGCAACAGCGCATTTACAAACATCACCCCCGACAAACGCAGAGGATACTGCCTCACATTTCGTATCTCAAAAACCGGTACTCATCGCCCGTCTTCAACTGGTGCAGAACTTTCTGTTCGATCTAGGCGCCCATCTGGCCACGCCGCGCACAAAATCGTCAAGCTTTAAAATCGCACGCACCGAGTTTGCAGAGAGCGCTGTTCAAAAGCTCGAAGCTTGGATCGACGACATGGATTCAAAACTACCACAACTGACAACTTTTTTACTTCCGGGAGGACACCCTGCATCAGCTTCTCTGCATATGGCCAGAACGATTGCTAGACGTGCCGAACGTGCCATCACGCCGTTGTACAGGGCGGAAGAAGAGGAAATTGAGGCGTCTGCGTACCGGTTTCTGAACCGGTTGTCGGACTTTCTGTTCGTGGCGTCCAGAATGGCGAATTGCATTGTGGCCGCAACTGATGTGAAGTGGCAGGATAATCGGGCGGCGCTGAATGATATTGCGAGTGGATGTTGTCCATAAGTTTATAAGTGTGTAGAGCTTCCCTGGAGGGCGTTTTACAATAGGTATAAGACCCTTAGTAGTGTTTTATAAAAAAGGCGGCTTCGGTTCGTGTGCATGACTCTTGGCTACTACGCGAAGATAACGGCGTCTTCTACTTCGTTGATACAATATTCAAGCATGATGCGCACCGCTTTTTCCTGACCGGCGTCAATATTATAGGTTGCCATGACACGGTTGACAAAGTCCAACTGGGCATTGGTGATGAGCGCTTCATAAGCGATCTTCTCCTTCTTTCCGCACGAATTGCATCGAACGTTAGTGAATATAGTTTGTTCGGATTCGGAACTGGAGGAGGAGATGTTGATGCAGTAGGCGATGATACGACGTAGTGCCTCCTGTTGATCGCCTTGTGTGTAGGTTGCGGCGGATGCTTGAAGATACGATTGGTGATAGGTTTCGATTCGGATTGGAACGGATGTGATTTGAGAGGCTTGTGTTTTGCGGTAGAGATAGTACGCTGTTGCGAAGCCCACGCCTGCGGCTGCTGCGCCTGCTATCGCAAGAGTGATTTTGCGGTTGTTGTAGGCCATTGCGGCTTTGTTCTGGAGGCGATGGCGCTGGATGCTGGGCGGGTTGCGCTTCGTCCGAGGCGGTGCGACGCCCGGGATTGCATCAAGTTGTTGCATTGGCTGAAAACAGAGCATCCAGATGATCGCCAGGTAGCCGGGTATGCACGTACAAGCAGGCGGCTACAGCGGCTATTAGCAGGATACCCGAACGATGCGCCACGTGGAAGTAACGTGAGGTGTAAATGGTGGTACAGCGAATGGAAGGGGGTGTGTGTGCTAAATTTGGCACACCGCGGGTCGTGTGGGACATGAGCTAACTTCAGCACTCTGCGACAAAACAGCGACATCATCGTCGTGGCTCAACGTAGAATTGCGCCCCTCCGCGTACGTAGTGCTGCGCTTCCGTGCCCACGTTCGCGCTTGGCGCCGCCACACCGCGTTAACAGACGCCCTCAGGCGCCTCGCTCAGCATGTAACACCGTCTGGCAGCCGTGCCAACTTGCGGAGTATCTCTCGTAACATCTCGTCACCTCGTGCGCGTCGTTCCTGCCAATTGCCGTTCCGTCCATCTCCTTCACCCACAGCCCCCCCAAACATCGTTCGCCACGCGCTTTACGTCACAAAGAGATCCGCCTCGCCAATCGCTACCCCACTCCTTCCGTTACATTCCATCACCTTCACATGTTCATCTCCCGACACATTCTCTCTCTCCACCCCCCCCTCCACCCCAACCTCGCACAAGCTCCCTAAAGCTCCCGCACTCACTCACACACACCTTCCTACTCCGCCTTCCTTCTCCCCCGACTCAACTGCGTACCAGCGGTACAGAAACAACCTCCGTTCTCGACCAGCCCCTCTCTCTCTTCCCCACTTTCGTTGCATCAGCTGCTCCACCCACTGTTCGCTATGTGTTACATGCTCACCATAACCGACCCGAATACCGGCCAGATAGGCCATCGCGTGTGGGAAGACTGCGGCAGCCCCGACTGTCACACCTCCAAGCACTCCAAGTACAAGAACACTCCTAACGGTCACGGCAAACCTGCTAAAAAATCCTCCAGCAAGTCTTCCTCCAACGCTCAGAGCTCCAGTTCCTCCTCCAACGCTCAGAGCTCCAGTTCCCCCTCCAACGCTCAAACGAGCTCCAATGCCTCTGCCAACAGCAAGTAATCCCCCATCTCAACCCAGTCGTAATCACCACCCTGTTCTGCAACTGTCGCTTCATGCATGATTGCTCGCTCATGTTTGCTACCGTTTCTGCCTCTGGGTCACCCTGCTTGTCCCGTTTCTGCCTCTGGGTCACCCTGCTTGTCCCGTTTCTGCCTCTGGGTCACCCTGCTCGTCCCGTTTCCGTCCTGCTTGTGGTCTTTGCGCATATTGTCTTGTCATGCCCTTTGTAAAAACTCTCATCGCTTCATGTACCTTTGGTAAACCTCTGACTCGTAAAAACGCACAGCTGCCTTTCTTTCTTCCTTCTTTGTTCGCTCTTCTTCCTTCCATCTCCTTTGCTGCTCACCTATTCCACAAAACGTCGAGCTGCAGTCTACTTTGCATGCAATGCACCACGTTCGTTTACCACCGTTAACATCATCCTGCATCATGTATTACGTTCCCAAAATGCTGCGCCGGCCGAAGAGCTTCCAGTCTTGTTGCCGAAACGTACACGTGGTTGTATCACTTCCACTTGCGGTGGGTGAAGGTGATCATGATGCTGAGCCGTTGTTTAGAACCATAGCTGTTCAATCGCTAAATCGGCAGATTTCGCGAAACGGACAATGATGCATGCCACGCTACCCACAATCTACCCACAGTTGAGTTGCTGAAACTCTCTATTATCAAAACAAGGTGTACGACACCTGGTGCAAGAATATGTGTCAATGCTACCAGAAAACAGCCAAGCAGCAATTGGTTTCCGTAACAACAAGCCATCAAATCAAGGGGTTTCACCCTTTGCACGTCGTAAAATTCCAGATGAATGATGAAAACAGAGTTAACAAAATGACAGCCGAAAACCTGATAGAACATACTTGCGGTTTTGAGGCGGCAATGACTAGGTCCAACATCAAAGACCCCCGCTATGTATTCAATACAGATCAGTCCAGGGCTTCATTTGCAAAAATAAAAGGTCTTAGTCTCAGAAAAGGAAGGAACGATTAGGATCAAGAATTCTCCAGAAAGCTCTCTCCACGCAGGAAAAGCTTGACAGAGTGACATTCATGTCTGTAATTGTCGCAAACAGAAATGCCTACAAGCCCGTTGTTGTTTTTCCGGGTACTTTGGCTCACTACCGAAAAGTTCGGGGTCAGATTTAGTCATTTCATACCGTATTACCACTGTGCTATTTGTTTCAAAGGAATTCTCCTGGTGGACACCGACATTTTCTACAAATGGGCTGAATTTTTCCTCAAATAAACTGCTCATTTAAGAGTTAATAACCAGAAATTATTGCTGCTGCTTGACGGCTATGGGTCGCATATACAGTACAAGACTTTTAAACTTTTCAAGAACAAAAATGTGGTGGTGATCGCTCTGCCGGCACACACATCACATATCACACAACTACTTGGTGTAGGTTTGTTCAGCACATAAACGTCATATTTTCAGAACGAGCTGCATAAAGCCGCGAGACAGAAAGCAAAACTGAACGCCTTTGATGTCGCCCAGTGCATCAGTAATGCTTAGGGCGACCCCACTCAGGCCTCCGCAACGTATACCGCCCACGTTGCGTTGTCATTTGGAGTTTCAGCAACCCCACTGTATCTCCGTAACATCAAAAACGGCCACAAAATTTTTGCGGCGACGCTATCGAAACAATTTTTGGGGAGGTCTCCGTATCCACCACAAACGTCGTCGCCCTCTGCCCAGCGTGTCTATCGTGCGACGCATAACGCTCATCGCGGAGCTGACCCCGCGCTTCACATTGCGCTCCTTCCACCGCGCTCAAAGCGCCCAAACCGTCGCGCATTCCGGGCACTTCCCACCGACCTCCTCGTGCGCTTTAAACCACTCTTGCTTCGGGCGCGCCCTTTGCCGCGCGGTGGGCACGGTGGCGGCGCAGCTACGGCAACGCTTGCCGCACGCCCACCACCGCTTTCTTTGTGACCACGCCCACGGCCGTGTTCTCCGTCAGCACGCCGCTGCTTTTACCACCAAACTGACGCCATAGCCGACAACACACATGTAACCACGCAAACAACAAGCACCAAATAACATACTTGCCGCTCTCGCGCTCTTTCGTCATCATGCATTTTGCTCGAGGCGCGACTACCCCAAAACCTCCTCCGACTCACTATCGCGTGCATGACAATTTTTCACACTCACTTCCACCTATTCTGCTGCATTTGTTGCGTTCCGGCAATTGCAGCTGGCTTCTTGCCGACCGCAGCCTTTCTATGTGCAAACGCGTCGTCGACGACAAAC